TGGTTGATAAAGTCCTGCTATGGTAAACAGCCAGGTAAGGAACAGACCTACAGACCGCAGATCCTACACAGAGGACATATCCTGTGACACTTTAATGCATTTAGAGCTATTTACTTATTTAAAAAAGGCAGATCTGCAGCAGTATCCAGCTGCTAGCTGTGAGGAGTGAAGCTGTGGTTGGATATACGGTCAATCTATGAAGCTGTAGACGTCCAGCTGTGACTATTTCAACCTGCAGAGCCTCTGTGACAGATGTGCTACCAACCCACCGCAGGAATTCAGTCACTTGCAAGTAAAAACACTCCTGCACACACACAACAGCTGCATGTACAGTGTCACAATCATTTTTTTTTTTAAAAAAGCACAGTCATTGTTGCCATGACAATCAGTGTCTCCCCAAACCTACAGTCTGCCTCAGCAGTGGTCACAGAGAGCTGCTGAACCACTTCCTCTAGTTTGCTTTCTAAACGCACTGATACAGACTGGTGTCTCAGCAGATGAAGGTGCACCGACTCGTGACGATGGACATCACAATAAGATCAGCGTTTCTCTGCGGCTCGGGGGAAACACAAACCTGACTGATACAGATGAGGCACCAAACTCTCATACATTAAGAGTCTCTTTCTTAAAGTTCCCTCACGTCGAAGCTTTATGAAATGTTAAAGAAACAATTAGCAGAAACGCCAGCACATAATGGCATACTGTCCATCCAACAGCCGCCGCACCAGCAAAAACAACACTCAATTAACCTGTGCAGCATAGAAAGTGCTCCGTTTCTATCCCTCACGGCAGAATGTCAGGAATAACGGCACGAGAAAAATTTACCTTTAATGGAAGACGTTCGTAACAGAGGAATGGGTCCCGTCTGGAGGCATGACTGGTGGTGTTTTAAAAACAAAAGTAGTGTGTGGAGTGGCAGAAAATCAATGCTGTCAGATCAAGGCGTGCACTTTATGTGGAATAAAGTGGTCCAACAAGAACAAGGAGGTAGATCGCTGTAAACAGAGGCTCCAATACAAGCAAACTACAGACGAGGCTGAAACTGCCGAGGACTAAACCACAACATCGACAAATATCACTTGAATTCAATAAACAACAAGTTACAACAAAAGCTAAAAGGTCAGAGAATACGAGACCAAATGGGGCTAATGCATCATTTTATATGAGACAGAAGAGAAATTATTGGACAAAGCCAGTGACTACTGGACTAAACCAGACCATGCTTGAGATTAAAATGTGACAAAAGTACCTCTGAACATGGATCAATCTGGCTCATACTAAACGCTGCTAAGATTCAAATGACTACTGGACCGAACCGGGGATAAAATACCAGCTAATGTTAGCCTGAAGCAGGACTGAAACAACACCGAACGACTAGCCAGAGCTAAATACTGGACTGTAAATATGACAAAAACACGACTAAATGTTGGACCAAACCAAGGCTCAAACCTGGCTTACAACAACACAAACTTCCTGTTTTAGAGGGTTAACACCCCACTGAACACTGCTCCAAAATACTGCAGAAACACCAATAAAACACAAGCAACAAACCGGGGTTAAAACACAGGTCAGTATGAGACACAATGCAGAGCTCTGACTTTACTGAATTAAAACACCAGCGAGACACATGGAGCAATGACAGCTCACTTGTCCAGCATTATGAAGAGCAGCCCACTGCAGAGCTCCGTCTCACTGCTGACTCACTGTTTATGTGCAGTGACTCATGATGGAGTTAAGATGCTGTCATTATTAGCTGCTGCTGCTGCTGCTGCTGCTGAACCTCTCCACCTCGTCACTGTTACACAACTTAATGTGAAAGAGTCATCGTCAATATTTGAAGGTTTTCATCCTCCGTGACACGGCGCCGGGATGATTACCACTCGTCACAGTTTGTTCTCTTTTCGCTCCACTTGTGCAACGTATCTGTCAGCGCGACACAAATAGATGTGCAGATACAAAGGACAAGTTGCTTATTCACATTTAAAAGGTTTTTGCCATTCGATTTAAATAGTTTATGTATTACGTGTACCAATGGGCAGCTTTCCACTGCAGGTACGTACCCTGTAAT